TTTATAATGTTTATGAATAGGATTTAAACTGTTTGCATGAAAGAGGTCAAAAAAACGTGAAATCCAGGTGAGTGAAGGACATCTCCTGACGGGCAGACTGTCTAAAATAATAAGCAGGAGCAAGAGAAGTAAAACCAGAAACAATTAATAAAGCTCAGCGGTGACGGGAGGGCCGATTGCTGGGAAGCCAGGATCTCGACACCATGGCTTGGAAAAACAAGGTTGTGTTAACAGCCACGACGGGCAAACCTGGCTGTGGCGATGGTCCAAACTGATCTCTACTTTTCTTTTTTACTGCCCTAAAACTGCGGCAGCTAGTGCCTTCAACTTTAAAATATAGGTTAATGACATTTTAAAGGAAATCTTTCGTAAGTAAAAGGATGTTTTTTGTTTTTTTTTGTAATATTTCAGTTTGCTCTCGCCACGACCGAACTGCCAGCCATGCCTCTCAGCAACAAGCAGGAACAACAAGAAACAACAACAACAAACACCAACAGCGCCAGGGCTGCGCACGCCCACCTGGGGCTCACTGGCCGTGGCGAGTCGCGCCGCGTCGCACTGACCGTGGCGAGCCGGGCTCAGGGCCGGACCGCCCAGGCCGAGGCAGGCCAGGCCGCTACCTCTTCCGAGTGCCGCGCCCCTTTCCCTTCCCGCCCTTCTTGCGCTGCAAATCAAGCACGAGTCACACCCTTGATGGACAGATCGCGTCATCGCCATGCTTGGCCTGGGAGAGGAGCTAGCTAAGGACGGCGGCCAAAGAAGCGAACAGAGGCGAAAATGAATGACAATCGGCTTGGGGGAAGGGACTTGAATTGGTCGGGCTTCACAGAAGCCTTCATTTTTACAATTTATTTTTTAAAAGGCCAACGTAGGTTGGGCAATAATTAACTTTAGGGGGTGCCTAGTGCGAAGTTGATTAAGTCAACTTGTGCTTACTACTTGCCCTATTCCCCCAAGCTGAGGTATGGCCCTGTTGATGAGCCCTTCTAGGCGCACTACTTACTTGAAGGGCACTGTAGGGTTGGTCGGGACGGGGCGCGTGGGGCAGGTCTTAGAGCTAAGGGTTGATGTAGAACCGTCACTAGGACACCACACAAGCTGCATCCACCTATTGCCACACCACAGCGCACGGTTACCGCTGGCCGGCATCATCAACTCACTAATACATGGGGGAGACACACAGCCGGATTGGATAGGCACTCGGCAGTATACGAAAGACAAAATAATAAAAATGAGTCACCATTTCAAACGATAACATTCAATAAAAATGCATTCGTATATATTTCGATATAATGCCACACCAATCAGCTACTGATAAAAACACAATCCACGACCGTGAATTTAATTAATCCAACGCTTTTTGCTTGGTTTCTCTCAATGGTCAGTAAATGTAAAAAGCCACTTATGAAATGGGTCGAAGCACGAAGATTGTGTTTACATCAGGCCTCTGAGAAGACGGGGGACTGATAAGCGCATGGCTAGCCCGTGACCAGCTAGAAGTCACGTAGGGGAGAGGGTAGTGTCCAGTTTGTGATTTGAAATGTTTCTTTTCCTGTTGTCATTGATACTGAAGAACAAAAATATCTTACGACGAGGGAGGAGCTGTGCGCTCCGTTACACGCCCTGTTCACAAAACCTAAGTTCAAGATAATTCCGGTGGCTGAACTAATTTTGTGACAACAACTTACCTTTCTTTCTTCAGGCTCCGGATTGGATGCCTTTTGGGGCTGCGCCTTGCCGGGCTGACTGTGTTGCGGCTGCTGAGGCTGCGGTTGTGGCGGAGGCTGAGCTTGTGGACTGGCAGTTTGTTGCTGAGGTTTGTACAGAGTGGGTTGAGGCTGCTGCTGCTGCTGTGGGGGTGGCTGTTGTGGCGATGGCTGCTGCTGCAGGGGCGGTTGCTGTGGCGGTTGCTGTGGCGGCTGCTTGTACTGAGCACTCTGCAGCGGCTGCGCCTGCTTCTGCTGCTGTTGCGGCTGCACTGCAGCCACCGGGATGGCGGTCGGGGGCGGTGCGGGCTGCGCCCCGTGCGTGACCCCTGAGGCCGTCCTGTCCTTGGACAGCTCCGCCTGGAACCTGAAAAAACGAGGGACACACTGCACGTTCCGCTCCAGGAATCATCCGCCGCGAGGGTATCAATTTGGGACATTTTGGCAGTCGATCCCCCCTGGTTAAGTAAGATTTGTTGGTGGGGCGCGCACCTCCTGTTCTCCTCCTGCAGCCGGCAGACGGCGGCCTCCTTCTCGGCGAGCTGCCTCCTGAGCTCGGCCTCGTACGGCCCGTGGCGCGCTCTCACCGCGTCCTTGAGGCGGGAGATCTCGTCGTCGCGAGTGAGCAGCGCCCGCTGCATCTCCGTGATGTCTCCGGGCCTCTGCAACAAGACACCGCACCGGCATTAGGCTTTACTCTCACCCGCTCCCGTTCATGTGGATGTCGTCGGCGTACCTTGGAGGACTCTCTTAGCCTGCCGAGCTCCTCCTCCTTGCTGGCCAGCGCCCGCTGCAGCTCCGCGATCCTGGCCGCGTCCTCGGGCCGGGGCGCCTCGCGCGCCGCCTCCAGCCGCGCCAGCGCCTTGTCCTTCTCCGCCATGGCCTTCTGCGCCGCCTTGTCCGTGGCGTTCTTTTGCAGCTGCGCGATCTCGGCGGCGGCCTTCGCCAGGCCGGAGTCCTTGTCCGCGAGGGCCTTCTTGAGCTCCTCGATCTGCTGGGCGTGCTGCTTGAGCTTCTTGTTGCTGTCCTCCCGCTGCCGCTGGCTGAGCTGCTGCCCCAGTTTGGCAATGGCATCCTCCTTCTCTCCTAGCGCCTTCTTCAGCTCGCCAACCTGCACCAGGGACTCCCGGACCTGCGCGGCCTCGGCGCGCACCTTGAGCAGCTCGGCCTCGGACTCCTGGGCTTTCTTCCGTAGGGACGTCAGCTCCTCATTGTTGAGCCTTAAGAGAGATCGGTCACAATGTTCGTCACAATTCGATGCCTAAAACGAGCACAAGCTCAGTGATCCGAAACAGTCTATTATACGCACCTGTGAATCTCCATGTCTTTTTCTTTGAGTAGTCTCCTCAGCTCGTCCAGCTTCTGCGCGTCCTGCGGCCTCGGGTTGCTCTGTGACTTCCTAAGCGCCGCGTCCCGGTCCTTGACCATGGTCTCCTTCTCCCGAAGGATAGTCTCTTTTTCCTGCAGCTGCTTTTCTCGCTCGGCGAGAGAGGCCTGGCGATCGGACAAGCACACAACAACATTAGGACCTCTTGGCCGATGACGGCAGGCACCTATAGGGCCTTCCTAATCAGTTCTGTGGAAGCAGGTCCCTGTAGCGCAGAGGATGGCGCGTAGGACTTCTAATCCAAAGGTCGCGGGGTCGATCCCCGCCAGGGATACTTTAATTTTTTTATTTTTTTAACTGGTTTTAAAAACAGGAGTGTTACCTACCCTGAGCTTGTCGATGACGGCCTTGTGCTCCGCGACGCCGTCTCTCAGCTGCTGCATGGCGTTGGCGTCCTCGGGCCTCGGGGCGGCCCTCAGCCTCTCCAGGGCGGCGTCCTTGGCCACCACCGTGCGCCGGAGGTCCTCGATGGTGGCGCGGTCCTCGGCGCGCCCCTTGAGCCTGTGGTGCAGAGCAGCGGGGCGCAGTCAGGTCACCGTCTGTCGACAAGCACCCCGCAGGGACGCCCGGGGCCACGGGGAGGCGAGGCGACACGGGCCGAAGGGCAAAGGGCCATCGACCTTGGCGCTTGGAGCGCAACCCAGCAGACGAGCCCCGGCGGTGCCCGGCGGTGCCCGACGGAGCCCGGGAGGAGGGCACAGAGGCCCGTACGCTACGCTGGCCCGCCCCCGCTGCCCGGCTCTGCGAGCGTCGAGATGTAAATCATGATAACATCAGGTGGCTTTTTTTCCCTCTCTCCACCGTCTCTCTCTCTCTCTCTTCCTCTCTACTTCGCCCGTCTTCCATGCCCCCCACCCTTACTTTCGCCGTGACAGGTCCTGCCCGAGAATCATTTTACGGCAAGGGCAGCAGTGGGTGGGGTGGGGTTGGGTGAAAAAAAAACTTAGGGCAGAGAAAATGGTTGAGCGTGTCAGGCGCTTCGCTTCAAGGCTCGGGAGGGGCGCAAGGCCCGCCGCCTCGGCCCTCCCTTGCGGCACTGCGTGGCCTCGCCCGGCCTCGGCCTTGTTGTGCGGCCCGGCCGAGATCGAGAGCGTAGCCGAGCGTGGCCCCGCGCGGCATTGCGTACAGGGCGGGCGGAGGGCCACGGGGCAGGGCTCCACTCCAGCCAAGTTGTCCTGCCGCCCACCTCATCCGGCGGAACAGCCCCTCGCCCCGCCACGCCCCGCCACGCCCCGCCACGCCACGCCGGCCAAAGGAAACTTGCCCAACTGCTCCTGACCCATTTTCTGCACGGTGTGGTCCTGAGAAGGCCTCGTCATAGAAAGCCTGAGGGGCTGTTGGGGGAGGGAGGGGGGCTGAAGCGGCCATAAAGGTGCGATGCGGCCTTATTGTCAATCGCACAGCACGGCGCGGCCGGCCGGCCGGCGGGGCCGGAATGTGAGCCTCCGCAGCCCCCGCCTTTACGGCTGGCCTGGCCGACGCTAAACATCGGCTCGGCTTCCCCGCGGGCCTCGGGCGTGCCCCCCACGCGGCCCCGCACAGACACCGGGGGCTGAATGCACTCGTGCTCGGGCCAACCCCTTGTCTGCCTGTCTCCGTTTTCCCACGACCCTCTGGCCCCCCTGCTTTCCCTCCCTACTACTACTACTTATTCCCCCCTCCTCCCTCCCTACACTCTCATCTCCCCCCCCGCCCTTTCCCCCGACCTCCTCCTCATCCTCCTTCGCCCTACCCTGTCACGGACGTAAGACAAACACATTGGGCTGGAGTGTACGACTGATAAGAAAAACAACCGAGACTCAAATAAATCACGGGGTGGTGTGGGTGGGAAGGGGGAGCGTGGGACGGAGGGAGAGTGGGAGGGTGAGGAGCCGGTGGAGGAGGGAGAGGAGGAGGCGTCCTTTGTCGTCCAGCCGCCCCGCTCGCCGCCGCTGCGTGGCCGGGAGTCCCTCCGGAATCATATACGTAATGCGGGGAGGGCCCCGACTGTTAAACACACCGTCCCTCCCCCGCCCTGCTCCTTCCTGCTTCCCCCTTTCTCGCTACTAAGAAACCCCACTCAGGATGATGCTCATGCCGCCCTCACTTCTCCCACGACCTCCGCGCCCGACGCCCCCCCCCCCCCTCCAGGAACCTCCAGGGACTCCTTCAAGGGGTTCGCCATTCTGGCCATTCCGTCTGCCCTTGCCTCTCTCTCCACGCTCACCTCTGCCCGGCCACGCGGCCACGCCCAGGGGGGCCTTGTTCACGCCCGGCGCGAGAAACCGATTCGACCGCGGCGGCAACTTTACCCTTTTATATATAGAAAGAAAAAGCAAATAACAACAACATTAAAGCCGGCCCTAGGATCAGATACTTACTGAGCTTGGAGGGCGTCGACCCTCTGCTGGACTTTGGCCACCCTGTCGTCCGCCTCCTTGCTGAGCTCGGCGCGCAGACGTCGTCTCTCTTCTTCCGCCTGTTTCCTCTGCTCGGCGAGCTCTGTCTCTTTCGCTCTGCGCCGAGGGGGAAGGCACAGTGGGACAGGGTTAGTGAGTGTGCGAACGACTCATGCCGGGAAGTTGAGGGACGAGGAGAAAGGAAAAGAGAGGGGGGGGGGCATGTGATAGCCAATGATGTCCTGCCCAGTCTGCTGTGGCGGACTCACCATGCTGCTGTGATGTGGTTGATAGCAAACTTTGAATGATAGCTGTGGTCACGATGGAGTGATGTTGAGTTAAAGTATGATGAGTAAACATGGAGTTTCGAATGAAATGAGAGAACAACGCAGAGTCGTCAAAAGTCGTAAAAGTGACAGTTACACACAAAAATATGAGGAAAAATCACAGAAACTGCTAAACTGCGCAGGGATGAAAAAGTTATGTGAAAAATTACTACTCTAAGGAAGGGAATGGATAAGGAGAGGGTGGAAAAGGGCAACAATAAAACACCTAGTCACACTTTAAGTCTAAAAAGGTAAAATTCTTACAAAAGTATGAAAAAAATAACCTAGATCAAGAAAAAAAAAGAATAAGTGAGATCAGATTAAATTTGAATCGTCTGACCGAGCAAGACGTAATAACGAGAATATTTACAGCCTGGCTGTAATGCACGTTTTGATAGTTATCGCAGTGTTTCATAGCTGAAAAACGACGCCTAACTGCGTGCGTGGTTAGTACACATACAAGCGGACCGAAAAGGGTATACCGTGGGACCTGGATTGCCAGATATGAAAGAGTTCATGAAAGGAAACATGAATATGAAAAAGTGATGTGTCTCTGGGCTGAGTGCCTTGCGTCCCGCAAACCCTCCCTTTTTCCTTGATGGTTCTAATAATGCTAAGCAAAAAGGGACATGCGTTGAGAGCACTGAGTGGGAGGGTGGGATGGCACAGGGGACGGCAGATGCAGCACGGGCTGGGGGTTGTGGGAGTGGAAGGTGAAGGTGAAGTGGGGGAAGGTCAGAGGATCTGGTAGACCAGCAGGGCGAGGGCGAGCAGAACGCAGGCGAAGGTGAGGTCAGAGCTGGCCGACAGCAACCAGCACAGGATGGAGGGCAGGAGGACGGCGTACGCCAGGGAATCCCGCACCCGGGCCTCGCTTGGGTCAAAAACCAAAAAAGAGAACAGAAATGCAGTGCAACGCATTGCAACGAAGTGTGCATGCTCAGTGGGTCGTGGGTGCTGGAGGGGACTAAACTTCATGGTCTGTGCTGTGACAACAACACCTTCAAGGTGAACAGTGATATCCGAAGGACGGTGAGCCAAAGGCAGGGCTATTCTACTTGGATACAAGATATTTCCATGTACGACAGAACTCATAATTGATCCATAAGGCAGAAAAAAGAGGAAAATCTGTTTATCATTATAAAACTTAAAAGCTAAGAAGTTTTGAAGCTTTAGTTTCACACAACTTTAAATCAACTGTGGATTCAATTCAATTGTAAAGTCTAAGTTCTACCAAACATATAGGGCAATTAAAGGCAGCCAATTATGCTTTACGGATCAATTGTGAGCGCGAATGCAAAAGTAAAAGAGAATAACTGTCTCTAGTTCCAGGAAGTAGGGCATAATAAATGTCAAGAGAATCATCTCAAATTACCTGACATTCTTCAGCGCCTCCTCCTGTGCCTTGTGCAGCGCCTGCTTGTGGTTGCTGGCGATCTGCTTGAGCTCGGTTTGCAAAGATGAAACCTGCACGGCGAGCTGGAACCGCAAGTTATACAAACGACACCCGTCAACTTCAGTTTTCGGAGACGTAAAGGTGATGTGCGTCTCGCATGGCTGCGGGGCTCACCTGGTCCCTCTTCGGCTCGGCCTCCTTGGCCAGGTCCAAGGACGCCGTCAGCTGCGCCACCTGCGCCTCGAGCCGGTTCCGCTGCTGCACCTGCTCCTCTGTAAGGCAAAGGGGCGGCGCCGAGGCGGTTAGGTCCGTGCGGGGTGCCGACAGCCCGCCCCGCGAGCCGCAAGGTGGACGAGGAGTACAAGCTCACCCTGTTCGGCGCGGTGTTTGGCGGCCAGCTCCTGCAGCGAGGCGTCCGCATCCCGCCGCATCTGCTCCTTGACCAGCTCCAGGGTGGCCCTGGTGGACGCGCTCTGCAGCTGGTAGCCCTGCTCGCAGGCCGACATGCGCCGCTCGTGCTCGGCGCGCGCCTTGTCTGCGGAGCACACGACAGTGCGCACGGTTGAGCTCGGGGAGGGTCACTACCGCTACGGAGAAATCTAGACTCTATGGAACTAAAGCCCTCAGATTGCGCCATTTTCTTTAGTATGTACTTAAACGTGCAACCCTTTGCAGTAGCGAGAAGCGGGAGTCGCCACAATCACGACAGGCAGACGTAACTACATTTTACGACTGGCGGTAAAATACACAACACATCATAAACAGAAGTTTTTTCCAGAGTTCGTCGCACTGCGCGCCGAGATCTATTGGACCCGAGTCTTACCCATCTCATCTTCGTGGCGCTTCTCCATGGACTCGATCTGCTCCTGGTACTTGAGGTCGATCCTGTCCAGCTGCCGCCGCAGCTCGAAGATGTCCCGGTCCGCGTTGGTCTGCAGCTTCTCGAGCTCGCGGTTCAGCTGCGCCGCCTTTTCGCTCAGCTTGCTGGTGAGCGCGGCCACCTCCGCGTTGGCCGTCTCCAGGCGGCGCTGCAGCTGCTGCTTGACGCGGTCCGCGTCCTGGGTCAGCTCGCGCGCCTGCGCGTGCAGCGCGGCCACCTTGTCTTCGGCGTGGGACTGCTCCAGGTCCGTCTGCAGCCTGATGATCTCGGCGTGCATGCGCGTCTGCCACTGCGACGCACAGGAAACACAATGTCACAAAACTAGACTGTGAAAAACTTGTATTTTATTTTTTCTAACAGGGTTGAAAACTATTGGGATATCCCAAGAGTTCTCAGTATGAATGTCAATGTGATTTTTTTTCGATGAGCAGTGTTTTTTGTGTTGTTTTAGGCGGGTGCTGGCGGTGCCGGCCGGCCGGCACGGTGTGACCCACATGTATTTATAGCCCCCCCCCCCCCACACACACACACACAGACTACCGGCCCACCGCAGCCTACCTCAAATTCCACCCAATCCTGCTCGAACACAACGGCGACGTCCGTCCCCTCCCGGCCACCCACCTGCTCGGCCGTGTCCTTCTTGGTCTGCTCCAGTTTGGCCTGGTACTCGTGCTCCGTCTCCGCGAGTTCAGCCGAGTGCCGCTCCTGATGGATGACAAAAGAAACAAACAGTTATTAGGAAAGAATGAAATAAGATAAACGTGTGCCTGTAGGTAGTTCAAAATCTTCGAAACTGCTGTCCTCCTCGCTCTCGAAGCCGCGCGCTACGCGAGGCGCGCGGGGGCCCTGCAGGGGAGCGGGTAGGCAACGTGCCGGCCCGCCGTGCGTGGCGGTCCAGCACATTGCCTACCCCGGAGTTGACGGGCGCTCGCTCCACTCACCAGGATGGTGTCGATGTGCACCTTCTCCCGGTCCAGGGAGGCCCGTAGCCTCGCCACCTCCTCCTTGAGCACCTTCTCGTTGACCTGCAGCTGCTCCATGTCCCTCGTGTTGAGCCTCAGCGCCCTCTGCTGCTCGATGTTGAGCCCCCGCAGCTGCTCCGTCTCGGCCCTGGCGGTCGCGGCGTGCTTCTCCTGGAGGGAACAAAGCAGCGTCCGTCAGCAAGCGAACCGCGACGTCTGGTTGGTGCTGCTGGTGGGTGTTACTCACGGCTAACGCGGCGGCCTCCTCCAGGTTGGTGACCTTGACGAGCAGCTCCCGAAGGGTGCGGTCCTTCTCGTCGACCTTCTTCTTGCTGGCCGACTGCACCTCCCTCAGCTTCCACTCGAGGTCCGCGAGCAGCTGCTGCTCGCGGTCCGCGTGCACGGTCCGGAGCTCCTCGAACTCCTTCTGGAAGCGGGCGGTGGTGTCCTCGAGCGCCTCCTCCAGGGCCTCGTCCAGAGCGTCGCGCTCGGCCTCCACCTCGGCCACGGCCTTGGCGAGCGCCTCCTCCAGGGTGGCTCGCTCGGCGCGCGTCTCCTCCAGCTCTTTCTCCAGCTCGGCCACTCTGGCCGTGAGAGACTCCAGCGTCTGTCCGTGCGCTTTGTCCTTTGCATCTTGCTCCACTGAAAAAAAAGACAGAAATGGTGAGCTCGACCAGAAATGTGAATAAAATCTGTAATTAGAAAAAGGACGGGGAAAATACGATGTAGCGACATCTGACGACTTACGTTTTTCTGTCAACTTCTGGCTGAGCTCCTCGTTGTTCGTCTTCAGGTCGCCCAGGGTGGCCTCGAGCTGTTCCAGCTTCTGCTTGGTCTCCCCCGACTCCCTCCGCGACGACTCAAGTTCCAGCTGCAGCTCTGCGGCAGCGGCATACTGGTTGCAGGCCTGCCCCACCCATCCCGTCGTTGGAGGAGCTCGGCGGCCGCCCTCTCTTGGCCCGCCTCGCATCCGCCGCCGTTGTACATAGTACATAATCCCAGCGAGAGCTGCCGACCTGGCCGAGCATCACGCCCCTCTCCTCCCCCCTCCTCCACAGATTCTCTTTCCCTTTCGCTTTTCGGGCCGTTCCGGGCCATGCCTGAGCTGGCCTGGGCTGGCCCCACCCCGCTGTCTGCTATCGCCCCACGCCTCGGCTTCGCTATATATCGGTCCATACTATAGCAGCAGCAGCAGCACCCCCTCTCTCCCTCCCTCCGCCCTTTCACCGTTTACGCCCGTGCTTCATTTACCCGCTCCCCGATCGGACGCTGGGCCAAAGAGAAAGGTGAGAGAAATGCTCGCGCGGTGCAATGGGTCACACCGCTCCTCCCGCGCCCGAGCCCGTAAGCCCATTAAGCACTGGCAAGGAAACGACGCCCGACAGCCCCTTAATCAAACGAAATCATATCAAGTCCCACATGACATGACGATATTACCTGTTTCGCGATCCGTTCAGGACCCTACTAAATAATGCTTTCGACATTTCTCGTCGGATCCTGTATCATTGGAGTGTAGAGAGGAGTGGCCCTGTCGGCTCACCCCCCACACGAGGCAGCACCCACTCTGCAGGTGTCGTGCCCTCCATACTGTTGCTACGTGGCGTGCGGCTGGCGTGGCTGCCCTTCGCGGGCGAGGGGGGAGGGGAGGGTGTGTAGGAAGACATCAGACACTCCCGCGCCCTTCACCCGCCCGCCCTAGTCATATTGCCTGCTCCCTTTCATCCCAACCCTCCTCAATCATCCCCCTCCCCCTCTTCCCTCCCC